CGCGCTGTTTCCCAGAACTACATAATGGATGTATTTTGTAAGGCTTACACTGCCTTATGGCGTAGCGGTCTAGTGCGCTCACTGTGGTATTATATAATCCTTTTCCCCGCTGTCCAGAGTTCGACTCTGTGCGCGGGCATTTCTTTTCGCGTGGCCCAACCCTTGTTTCTATTTTTAGATGCACCTCAATATTCGGAGGTGCCGTCACCTCAATATTTTGAGGGGGTCAACCACCATCAAATCGTCAGGCCATGCCTCGCAATGAGCGACACTGCCCATATGCAGCATAAATTATGCATGTTATTGCTTGGCCATAGCTAACATCATTGGATGCGTCCCCATAGACAACATGAGGGCAGGAAAAACAATTGCAATACTAGTCTCAAGGTGTCGACATGATTTCGAGGACGCCGGATACTGTACCGACACGTCCGGGGTACCCCCACCGTCCGATGTCTGCCTTCGCTCGCCTTTTATCCTCTCCATCAGCGAAACCGGAGTTGTTTGCCAGTGATGATCCACGCGTCCTCAACCCACACTTTTGCAGACAGAAATCGTTGCATAATGATAGGTGAGTAAACGTTTCCTATGATGACCTCACGGCATCGGCGTAGCACCCTCACAGCATCCTGTCCATCCGTCATCTCAGCCTCTTCAAAGTGCATGTACCTGGGTCATACATCACATCGGACCACAGTGCAGCCGCCCACGTATTCAAAGCAGAGTGCGTCCTGGTCACACAGGAAGTCTGGATGTATGCGCTGTCCTGCATTTCTCTTGGGGTGGCGAAACGTACGCTCCATTACCATTTGAGACCAGATCTGGATGAGCGCATTATACGGTATATGCTCGCTGTGCTAACTTATTCAACGTCCGAGTGTCATTTGTGTACCCCTCTGCATATGTGTGGTCATGGTCGCGTCGCTGTATCTTCCAGCTCGTATTATCTCCGTGTCGTTTATAACGGGAAGACGAGAATACCGCCCCGTGGAGTACGCAGCCTACCAAACCGTCACACGGACAACGTCCTCACATATACTAACGGCCTCTACAGTTCCCTTTGCCGCCGCCATGCACTGGTTGTCGAGTACGGCTGGAGTACGGCGCGCTCTGTGGCTTGGGGATCTCTGGTGTTTTGTATCAGTATATTGAGATCTCCCGATGCTAGCAGTACGGATGAAATGACAGGCGAATTCTCTCGCATATGAACTGGCCTTTATAGCTGTAACACGCATAAATCAGCGAACACCCGAGTCGCAGGATGCGCTATGAGGTGATGAAGCTTTCCGAAGACTGATCATTACCGACGCTGCCCATGATGGTATTCATTACTTAATAGCTAGAATCGTTAAGATGCACCGCCGAAAGCCATAGACAACAGAAGAGGAGAACAAGATGCGCAAGGCTACAGGTGTTGAGAGAGATGATTGCGATGAGGGAGAAAGAAACATGAAATACTGTGATTGTAGCCATTCAGTCTACTACGTGCAAATCGTGACAGATGATGTGCCTCCTTGAGATGGCGAGAGCTGTCAATATGAGAAAATGTAGATCGCATGCGCGCGATATCGATATAAGGAATCACGAGAAAGAGAAGAGAAACCGCGAAAGCAAGCACGAATGGAAGGAAACATGGAGTCCTCTATGCGGTGGCCCGTTTGACCATCTAGCAGAACCCGTCAATTACGATTCACAATATTGCTACCATACGAGAAACGAACCTCTCTGGCCCAACGCAAAGTCCTTTTCGTCTCTGGAGGCATGCGCCCACGAGTACGGAGTTCCTGAGCGATCCACTCAGCTAGTAACAATTGCTTGATCTGCCCGTTGGGATACGCATCCGCCAAATCGCCAATCAAACCATATGATAACTTGGCCACACTGTCTGGCCGGTCCTCATCAGCTAGGCATCTCTGGACGAGCTCAAGGACGTTCGGAATATAAGGTATGAGAAGGTTGACTACAACGTAGCATCGTCAGCGGGTTAGAGTTTTGGCGAAGAACTCCCCTCTTACTCTTATCGGTATTCTTCAAACCTGTGACAACACCAGTGTAAGCCTCCAAGATGCCTTCCCGCAGGTTGGAAACGTATTCAACGAGCTCATAGTCGAGCTATACACCTCTTGTCAATATACGGACCTGCAGGACACAAAACTTGATACTAACCGGGTTGGGTTGCACAGCCCCAGCTTGACGCAGCACGCTCATCGTTGTCTCCAGGTACGGCTCGAAGGCAGGCCCAATGGCCAGGGCGATATCGCCGAAGCAGGAGAGAATAGAGATCTTCACATTGCGATTCAGCACGTCGCTCTGGAGGTTCTCGAGCAATACACGCATGAAAGCGTCGGCGTATTGAGCGCTTAACTCGCCCAGAGCTCGAGAGAAGTCGCCAATCAAGCCCACAGCGACCGTACAGAGCTGCGTGTCCTCATGCGCCTTGAGCGCAGGGTGAAGGAAGGGGAGGAAAGCGGGCATGTACGGCGCGAAGCCCTGCTCCAGAGCTATTACATACCATGTCAGTCCACTGATCAAGCGTAGAGAGCAATCAACGAAGTACATACCGGACGCCAGAGTACCAACCACAAGGAACGCGTCCTCCATGATGGTTGACGACTTACTCGCACACTGAATCAATTGGAGAATGAGAGTCATGATACGATCTGCCAGAGGCTGGATTCCATCGCCCAATCTCCGTACAACGCTCTACGAGTACCAATTTCATCAGTGGAAGATATGCATACGTTGAGAGATGGCACCTACGACGATAACACTGCAGAAGTTGGTCTGCAGATCGTTCCAGTTATTGCGGTCATCCACACCAAGAATTTGGTTCTAAGAAAATCGTTAGTCTCGCACGCAGGCAAACAACAGAGTACCAACAAACCTGAACACTGATCAGGTGCTCCATTCTCAGGAGGATCGTGACTATCGTGTTCTGTACAACGGAAACGACATCTGGTGGGGCGTTCGCACAGAACGCAGAGATGGCCTCGTATGCAGCCGTCCGGAAGTTTGACTCATTTCCAGCTCTGCATGACCATGAATCATGACAGCCAAACGCATAGGGAAAGCAGCTACTTACGTCTCGGTGACCTTCAGCAATGCCTGAACCACACCCTCATAGTAAGGAGACAGCGGCCCAGATTGTGGTGGCGGCGTAGTATCGGACTCAGCGGCAGCCGCGAGCTGGTCTGCCAAGTTCGTGAGACCCCAACAGCAGTTGGAGACTATCCTCGGGTGGTCCGACAACCCGTTCACTAAAGCTGACACCAGGGGATGCACGTGGACATCCGGCTTCAGGGTAGAGATCAACAAGTCGCAGATGCGTCCTAACGTCCAGGCTACTGTATCCCGCACTTGCAAAACAGGATCGTTCATCATATCGACGAGAAGAGGCAGTGCTTGATGGACTAAGGGAGCGAGCACTTGTGGGTCGGGTCCGTCCATGATGGACCCAAACGTCATAACCGCGGCCTCCCGTTGATGCCAGTCTTGCGCCTTAATGTGTGCTTCAATGAAGGGGATAACAGCAGAGACAATTGTGTCCTGGACGGCCTTGGCGAGAAGGGCCAGGCAGGTGGCAGCAGCCATGGAAATAGTCCACTCATCCTCATCGGCATCTTCTTCCTGTCGTGTCAGGAGAGTGAGAAGGACAGGAACAATTTCCGGCAGGGCAATCTTAGAGAAATTCTGTGATTCCGTCTCGGCAAACTCCCCGTACTCGGCCGCCTATAGCAGACATGAATAACGCTCCGCTGCCAAGAACATACGTGGCATACCTCTGCAGCTTCGCACTGCAACTCGTACTCTTCCTCACAAACAGTTGACCAGAACTCGATCGCTTGCATAGCCACCGCTTCATCTGGGTTCTTCATACCCAGGACTGTGAGCTGCCCAACATGATGTCAGGGGCATGTAGGTCGCGAGAAAGAAAACAGCATACACCGAAGAGAGCCCGCTCCATGTAGAAACTCATCTTGTCATAGTACAGACTCATAATTTTCACCAAGCACTCATATGCTCCAACCTGGACTGGTACGTTGGGATTTTGCGTAGCCTCACAAATCACCTGCATGATGTAATTTCTTTCGCCCTATATCGTAATTTGGGATATGAGCGCGTGCATCAGACTGATGGCACCATAAAACATACTTCACGCTCGAAATTGTCTCGGACAAACTCCAGAGAGTTGTATAGGGCACGCACGGCGGCATGCTGGACTTCTGGCGACGGCTCCTCCTTGCGCGCACCGTGGATAACTGCGGTCAAAATCTCATTGGAACGCGCAGCCAGGACTTCGATTTTCTAAGGGAGCATATAAGCCAGAAGCCTCCACGGGTTATGAGTTTGCGCCTCACAGTTCCCTCGCAGATATACCCTATCGTCTCAAGAGCAGATATTCTGAGATTGGTGTTACTCGCGTCGTTGACAAAAGTCACGAGAAGCGAGATCAAGTCATGCCACTGTCCGTGGGTTAGTTCAATGCAGGCAATGGATGAGACAACTTGAGCGGCCACATGGCCAATCCTGAGTTGTGGGGAGGCAAGAGACGCGAGAGAAGCCTGCTTGATCTTGTTTCTGGTTTCATTATCGACAGCAAGCCATCGGTTCCAGTACTCTGTCTGACGCGCCGCTTCCTAAAATTCGGGGTTGAGAAGCGAGAAAAGGGGACAGTATAGGAGAAGACGCGTACGCGTGCAGAGACGGCGTTCTTCAGGGCCAATCCAGCTGCATTCCGCACGTCTATCCCAGCACTTTCATTAGAGAGCTCAGACGACAGCATAAGCATGTACGCCGGCTACCATGTCGTCAGCTCCTGGTTGAATTTACGGTTGACAGGATCACTCACGTAGTTTTCCCTGGACGCAGCCTCCAACTGCTGCTCGGCATCCTGACGCGTATTTGCGTCTGCAAATCACAACGGCAACCATAGCGGACGATTGAGAGCACTGTAGACGCGAGAAAGCAAGGAAAGTGGCGCACCAGGAGATAGGGTATTGGCGAGTAATTGTCCAGCGTTCATGACCGTGAATTGCGGGGCCACCCAGTCGTAATATCGCGTACTCTAAGATAGCAGGACCAGCTCGATTTTGAACCGATTTCGTCGATCTGTTCCAGAAGGACGGTGGTGGTCGGTAAAGGCGATGATGGAGTGGGTTGAGGGAAGTTGCAGACGCGCGCGTCCGTTTTTCAGTGCCAAACAATCGAATATGGTTGCATTATTCCTGGGCCACAAGCCACCTCTTCCTTTCGGGAGCTCTACACCCAGGCAGCGGCTACAGAATTAACTCAAAATCCAGCCTCACTATTATATTGCGGAATAAGAAGCGATTCGCTCTCTTCGATCGCATTGTGACTCCAGCAGTCAGATTCAAGACTACCACTATCAACGACAATGGCGGATCGGGTCTGTGTCGGGAACAGCAACTATGCGGCCGTGACTTGACTATTCAATGTAGGGCCGTGGTGCTGCTAGGGGTGCAAGAGGATCATCTGCGTCTGCTAGAGGTCGAGGAGGTCCACAGGGACCGCAGCCCACCATGGACAAACCGAAGCGTGAAGCTATTCTTGATCTTTCGAAGTATGTTAACGAAAGAATTAGGGTGAAGTTCACCGGCGGTAGGGAAGGTTCGTCGTTACGATGGATCCCAATTTCGAGTCCTGACACAGTACGACTAGTTACGGGAGTGCTCAAAGGATTTGACCAACTGCTTAACCTTGTACTTGACGAAGTTGAAGAACAACCGACAGGTGTGCCCTGTTGTTGCCATATGGATCTATCCACCCTGATAACTATCTAGAGCCTTCACCGCGCAAGAGAAATCTGGGGCTGGTCGTACTCCGCGGCCCCACGATAACTCTCTTGAGCCCTGTAGACGGCTTCGAAGAAATAGCCAACCCCTTCGTGGCTCAAGAGTAGCTAATCAGATTTTTTTCGACTTTATGCTCGTTTCCGCGAAATGCACTGCGCAGACCCCTAGTCTCATCATATAGGTAATGGTGTGAACTACCTGTCCTGTCCGGACATGCATTTGACATGTGTCATAGCTACATACACATAACATGCTAGAATTGTAACTGTGTAAATTGACGAGGGTCAAGAAGACCCAGTTGAGACACTGCACCCAGCCAATGAGTTGAGGGTAACGCATCACGGCCTTCAAAACCAAGGAATGTCAGAGGAGCAAAGAAAGCAAAACGACCAAGCACGCCGTTAGATTCAGAATTACGCAGGCGCCTCATGATGCCGCAAAAATCAAAGGTCAGCAAGTCTCAGGACGCCTTCAGAGACAGATCGCGTAAGGAATCCGTTACTTTGGCCTCCCGTCTCTTCATGCTGTCGCTGATTAGGGCATCTTCCCGCTGTTTTGGGCGCGGGCTCTGCTCCGGCCTGCCGATCCTAGGACTAGAATCGTGGAACCGAGGACTGTGGTGGGGAGATGGCGGGGACGTAGACGATGGTGACACGGAAACAGGATAATGCGAGCTCACTGAGGAGGTAGGCGAGACGCTGGGAGTCGAGACAGACACTGGCGACGACGCCGATCCGGCTTCTGCTCGTCCCCCTGACCGCCTCGAAGGAGGCCGACTAGGTGGCTCTGGCGACGATGAATGTCCATCGTCGGCATGGGTCTGGGATCGAGCAAAGTGGAAGACCCTTGGAGTGATGGTAGCAGAAGAATGCGAATGTGCATGCGAAAAACGACTGTATGTGGGTGAGATCTCCCCCTCGTGAGCCATCTGCGACAAGGTAGGGGACCTGTCGGGGGTATCGAAGTCTGGCGCGATAATCTTTGGCGCTATATGCATCGATAGTCGGTGGCCAGTACTGGGTGCGCCCTCATGAGCCATTTGCGATAACGTAGGGGACCTGTCTGGCGTTTCGAAAGCGGGGGAGTTCCTCTCCGGCGCCAATTGCGTCGATGGCCGATGACCAGTATTAGGTGAAGATGCGTCCGTGTAGTAGTGCTGTTGCGCTTGATACTGGGAATATAATGATGTACACGATCCTGGATTTGGGTATAAATATGTTGCTCTTTCCTGTGCTGGAGAGGTTTGATAAAATACATTGGAAGCCTGTTGTGGTGGTATGATTATCGGGCGTGGTGCAGGTGACGATGATATTGTAGTTGGGATCCTAGATTGTACATGTGACAGCAAAGCTTTATCGGCTATACGCGGCGGCCCTGAAGACGATCTGCGCGAGGACTCGGAACGTATTGGCGAAAATGCACCAGGAGGGGGCCTGGTAAACCCCGACGGCGACAGCAAAGGACTAGCTTGCTTGGCAGACATTCGTCCACGCATGCGGAGAGCTGCTTGCAACTGACGCGCGGCGGTATCCTGAGCAGTCATGCGTCGCGGCAACGCCGGCCCTTCGTCCTTGTAGCGTGATCGGGGATGTCGGCCTAGACTGGATGGTCCGGGCTCTCGGTATGATGGAAGCGACTCCTCGGTGAAAGAATGAACAGATCGGACATCATCAGAATCAAGGCCGTCCGTAGGTACTTCGTCGTCGGTAGGCACTTCGCTATTATTCGACGAATAAGAACCAGTTTGCTCCTCTCTAGCTTCTGAGGACGCTGTAGCAAGCTCAAGACCCTTTCCGAATTGGTCCTCAAATGAAGCGTGAACGGAAGGCGGCGCTTCTGGCGGTGGTGGACTGGTCCATTTGGACCGTTTGGGGGCCATGTGGTCAGGAGGGGGACTGGGCGGTACTTGCAGCACAGGTGGCGGAGGTTGTTGCTCGACGTTCACTGGCAGGACCTGTGTTTGAGGAGCCAGCTTCTCCACGACTGACAGCCTGTTGGGACGAAGGGGATTGCTGCCGATAGTGTAAGGACTCTGCGGTGGTACGGGAGATAATCGTGGAGGCACGAAAGCAGAGCGAGCGGGTAATGGGCGGCCGAGTTGCTCATCTGGACGTTCCTCGCAGAGCTGAGCCAATGCAACGATTGCACGCTCTGGCCGGCTGGCAAGGATCCTCGAAGCACGCATGAACTCGCCACGTATCTGAGCATGAAATTCAGCAAGCTTTCCATCCTCCGCGAGAGCTAACTGACCGTATATAACCCTTCTTTGGTAACGCATCTGGCGACGTTAAAATCCGTTTCGAACGGGTCCTTTGAGGAGGTGAGACCTCTACGGACATGATTCACGTAAAGTACGAACCTCTATACAGAAGCGATTCCGTTCTCGGAGATCATTGTATCGAGGGCTGTCAAGCTGAGAGACATTCAGTATGGTCTCGAACTGCTGAAACCACAGTGCGTACATCACTTTGCCATCCCTTGCTGTCCTTCGTGAGCAACCCATTTTTAATTGAAGCAACACCAACACTGTAGGGGAAGTCCCGGGAGTAATAGCGGAAGAAGTCTATTAACCTGTGCGAAGGTTGGGGCTTAGCAAGAGGCTCGCGTGTTATAGCGTAACACATACAGCTCAGCCACATTCTCGGTATTGGCCGACTGCCATCTTTGGCGGAGAAGCTGGATGTCGTCGAAGAACCTATAGAAACACCATCAGGTAAGCAGACTTCAATCCACAAAAATAATACCCTTTACCATATATTATGCCCCTGGAGATGTGTTTCTTCCTGCAGCAACAGATCAATACTCGCATATAACGCACAAACCATGCAACCTACCTCAGATATTGGGCGGAGCGGTGGTATTTGCTGCAGGTTGGGAAGCACAGGTGGGTTTTTCACGTGGATGAGGAAATATAGCACAAGCAGCACATATCCATAGGATGACAGGGTACCCTTGTAGGGTGAATTTATCTTGCTGTAGTGAAAGGTGTGAGTTGAAAGAGGCCGTCGACACGTCACTTTGCACTGACCGCCGCTTAGCCCATACTTTCACTGCAGGGGGGATTGTTCCGTCAGCAGGATCGAAGGCGAGCATGGTTTAAAGAGCGGCAGTTCATAGATAGGGACACTCACGAAAGAGCACCATGGAGCGCACGCGCGTAGGGTCGATCATAGCATAGCACATCAGAAGTCTTGTATTTTCGAGAGCAAGTCTGTTCTCGAATCCGATATCGCAAGCTATCCCTAGGGGGAGACCCGGCGACGGGTCCAGCGATAACTTGACGATCGGTATGCGTGCATGGGGCAGGGGCTTAACGTGGAATTTGGTCTCTAGAAGAACGTATCACATAATGAGATAATAAGTGGAAGCGCTGAACCTCAGGTAAGCCACATACCTCTCTCGAGAAGGTCACCCAGCATCGTGACCATATCCGTGGCACTAAGGCGGTCTTCGGAGTCGATCAGGCAACATAAGTCCATATCTAATCGCCAGCGGTTCATTTGCCAGCACTGAAGTAGCAGAGACAACACATACCCGAATTCCGTAGACTGAATCCGTTGGCAGTACTTCCGAATGACAGCAGGCGACTATCTGGCTCGATTGTGCGGATCAGCCTCTCGAGTAACTTGCGGACATCTTCCTTCACCGCGAGTTCTTCCTGTGTTGGCAGCAATTGTACTACAAAGTCAAACAGACATTGGGAGAATTCGGTGACGAAGCGCTGTCTTGACGCCTGTTTCCGTTGCGAAGTAGGCGGGTGTGAGACGCTGAACTGCTGGTGCATTGAATGAGAGCGGCCGAGGGGTTGCGTGTATGTCGCCATCTGCGGGTAGCCTGCCACCCGTGTAGGGTGTCGACCAGCTGATATCAGTCGGAAATGCTGGCGGCGTCGACGACCCTTGTGCCCGCTTGAGCTCTCAGATTAAGAATCCAAGTCCTTCTGGACCACTGGTTTACCCAGATGCGGCAATTGGGTAATTATAGAGCGTGACAGACGTGACAGCCGTGCTCTGCCGGCCCTCGGCAAACCCGTCCGATCACTCTTGAATGATCTCTGTCTGTTGGCTTTCTGAGTGCTGACTGCCACGGTGTAGGTATTTCTCAAAGGATGTCTGCAGATATTTACCACTGAAAGCTCTGACCTGCCTACAGTGTGAATACTTACAAGAAGAAAGTTACTTGGCGACAGCCACGATCTGCAGCTGAAACACCGGTCGAATATCCTGATCTCCTTGTCAAGCTGCACTGACACTGATATGCTTCAGTCTGAAGCCAACAAACGTGCCATGCATACATGTTCGATTGGTGTTTGATGACAGAATGGCCAGAAAGCCTTAATTTGGTATGTGTATGAAGCTGATTGGCATAACGGAATCAGAATCGGGACATCATGAGTTTCTGGTTTGGGTTGATCCAATGCACTGAGACTGCTAACATCGAGAACGGCATCGCGTAGTAGAGAGTGACTCTGGCATCTTGTTGACAGTGACAGTGATATGCTGCGAGACGTCGCACCACTGATATGTCGATGGAAGCGGGCCGTGGTAACGTAAGCTTACCTGAGTACCACTCTCCCTTCATGATCTTCTACTGACAAGACCTCGAAGCGATGGAGATCAGTTTTGCGCATGACAAGAATGTCATGAGGACAAGCAGACAAAGTGAAAACCATTACACCAATGTTACACAGGACACCCCAAGGGTACCCATGTCACAAAGTAATCGAAGGTATCCACACGCTCCTACTTTGAGTGACCCATTGGCAACGTATAAGGAGGGAGCTCGACCGCTTCACTCGATGAATATTTAGCATTTTATCTTCTGGTCACATCTATGATCTATCACTTCCTAGATTCATTCGAAGGGTCTGGCGAATGAGCAAGGAGTCATGCTCGACGACTTAATCTGCACCGTCAACAAAGAGGTTCGTGGAAGGTATCTCTCTGTTTGCATCCTCATAAAGGCAGTTGTATCCCCCTTCGGACCCCAACGGTGCTACGGGCACGCCACCAAGGCTGCGCCAAGGGGAGTGATACGGGCGGAGGTGTGTAGGGTACGCAAATTCCTGATCTTCATGTCCGTCGAAGAGTGAACTTCATGGCAGAATGTACACTGTACTACGGATGGTCCTCCAGTATGGGGTAGGTCATGGACAAGATCTCCTTGCTGTATACTATATAGAGCCCTGAAAGTGAGG